TACAATTTGAGTTGAATTACTGACATAAATGAACTTTTCCATGACATTATAATTTGAGATGCACCCGTAGATTGCTTGTAGATCAATGCAACTTAAATGGTATAGTCTAACTTCACTTTCAAAACATTTTGAAGTTGCTTAAATGTGCTAAATGCCTTAACACGAAAGTTCACCCAAAAATAAAAATTGTCATTTATTTACTCTCATGTAATCGCAACCCATTTTGAACCATTTTTTAAATTTATTTTATGTTCTTTAGTCTGTGGACCATCAAAAAAAAAAACAAAAAAAAAACTGGCAATTAATAAGAGACATTTTTCAAAATATCTTCTCTAGTGTTTCCACAGAAGAAAGCCATACATATTTGGAATGACATGAGAGTAAATTGACACCTTTAACTTTATAAAATTAGAACATCTGACTTCATATAATAACCAGAGCGGTGTAAGGTCCAGTGGGGGAAAAGAAATTCTGTGTTTGTCTTTTCTGGTGCTTCAGTCTGCTTTTAGTCACAGGGTGCAGGGTTTATCGATTACCTTTTTAGTCAGCTGCCTACTACTTGCTAAGAAAAAAAAAAATAAAACCTTTTTGAAGACCTACACAAATTACCTGTGAGCAGGGTATGTTTTCACAAAATCAGTTTTATAAAATGATCAACTTAACATTTTAGACTTAATTTTAAGAAAAAGAATGAGTCAAAAGTACATTATATATTAGTATACAAGCATATTAGTCATCAGAACTAGATTTAAAAAAAAAAAAACCCCCTCACCAAATCTGGAGTGTTTAGAGGCATATTGACTCGCTATATACTGAATTTTCAAAACCATTAAACCAGTGTTTACACATACTACATTCCTCTCCCGTTAGGGTTACCCCGCATTCTTGGTTTATTTCTGGTAGATTTGTACTTCACCCCAACAACATTTATACACACAGAAGTTTCACTAAGCTATGAGATTTAATGAATTGAAAAGATCAAGTATAGCATGGACAAAAAGAAAAACACAGTGAACAAATCAAGGACTTTTTCCCGATGGCCAAACTGGCATGGTTCGGTGCATACACAGGTGGTTAGGCAACACTTCTGTCTGGCAGGATACGGATCATGGGAAGAGTTATCAGCACACATTTGGTTTGAGACATAGACCAGGCCTCACTGCATGGATAAAGATAATCAGAATTAGTCTGTTCATTTAGATGCATTCAAACTCAAACATCACAAAACGTGAACAAGTTTGACTTTTAGAGGAAGTAATTTCAAAATGGTATTAATCATTTTGAAAAACTATGTGCTTGAAATGGTGTTATGGGCCAAATTCAGTTACTTTGCCATTGGAAATGATAAAACTCAAAAACGGTGCGTGTTGGGGACCCAAGCACCAATATAACGAATACCTTTATATGGATGTGTACATTTGCGTCCACATTTAGTACTGCAGCATTTTTCATCTTTCGGACAGTCAATGTCATTGACACACAACCCTTTACACAATCCTACTCCAAGGAATCTCCTTGGACACACTCCTGGCTTTACTGTTATCTCCTAACATGTCATCAAGATTGATTTTTGGACACACTCCTGGTTTTTCTGTTATACAAACATGTTAGAGAAAGCAGATCATTGAATGCCTCACTGCATTTAAAAATGTCATTTTAAAAACTAAATTTAAATTTCACATTAATATAACAATATAAATACCTTTATATGGAGGCATACACTGATGTCCACATCCATTGCTGCAGCATTTCTCATCATTCGGACAGTTACCGTCACGGGAACACAACTCCAAACATGCTATGAACACTGCTCCATCAAGATTGTATATAGGACACACTCCTGGTTTTGCTGATATACAAAACAAGTAACAAAAACCATGATCACTGAATTTATATAAAAAAAAATAAATAAATTAAAAAAAAAAAGTCAATTCTCAAATCTCTTCTCATTGCGTCGCATGACGTCTGAAAGATTTCTATCAGACGTTTGTACACAGCAGATGCTTTCCAGATAAAGCGATCTTTAACAGACATCTTGCAGACATAGGTGCGCTATCTGGGATTGGAGGATGAGAGAAAGCTAAGACATGATTGGCTGTTGTCTCTGAATGAATATGTAAACTGATAAGAGGCTAGACAGTAGGTCCAGGAGCTGTTTGTGAAGTCAGTCATATACTGAAATTGTGACCCATTTCAATAAAAAGGCTATGGGACTCATTCACGAAACTTGCAGAAATAAACTAGAAATAATTTGCCATTAAACAGACAACCCCGAAAACGCTCCTCCGGTTTAACAAACACTGGTTTGTGAAATATTAAATAGTGCATCAAAATGCAGTGTCCTCAGTTTTCTAAAAGCAACAAAACGTTTTACGCACAGTTTACATATGGTAGGGATCAGGGGTAGCCTACATTTCTTTCGAACCAACAATATGAACATTTCACGAATTCAAAAGTTTACGTGTTTATATTTTAACTGCTTTGCGTTATGTAGTCAAATAATTTCGTATATAAATAGGTGCCATAAAGTGCCAAAAGAGGCTCCCCTATGATTACGAGCCAAAAAACCACTGTTGGCTGGGCTACTGTGACAAAGGTGCTGCATAGTGTCATTTAGCACCATTTTGGTTTATGAGGGTACCATCAAACCACAGTTACATTAAGCATTTTCAGTCACAAGAAATAAAAATATAGTTTGTAGCAAATCAGACAGAACACATAAAATCCACAACGTGCGATATATATGATACGCAATCATATAAACTCTGATCTTAAAGATAATAAACTAAATAAACTTACAGATATAAACTTTATTAGGCTATTTAAACTACGCCAACATGTAAAGTTTAACTTCAGCTGGACATCTGTACTATTTATATGACATGTGCCTAAAGTCATGTGTACTTATTTACATATTTTCTTCGCTGTGTAATAAAGTTAAAAGATTTCACCTGTGACCAGTTTTTTGGCGTCTGTTGTGCTCAAGTAAACCGAGAGACACAACAAAACAGCAATCAACGAGCAACACACCCGAGCTTTCATCCTCTCGACCAGTGGAAAATATACTGAATCGGATGGTAAGGAGGGTTTTTAAAGCGGTCAGATGCAACTCCAATGCTGAAACTCACCTGCCTGTAGGCAAGTAGCCTAATCTTGAAGACCCTAATTAGCGTAGGCAAGTATCCTAATCTTGAAGACCCTGATTAGCTTGTTCAGGTGTGTTTAGGTGTGTTCACGCCATATCGTAATTACCGTGATTTCAAGATAACAACCTGTAAAACTCGTCATGGCCTTATGGACTTACCATTGGGCTTGACTGGGCTGCAGCCCATGGGCCCCGCCTTAACCCGTTTATGTTTGTTTGATTTGAAAAATTATTAGCCGCATTTCGACTGCGCACACAAGAGTTAAACGGGCCAGCCGGGTCTAACAGCTTCCAATTGACCTATCGGTAAGCCCCGTCCCCCTTAGTTACTGTTGCGACCTCGGACAAACAAACAGAGTTGAATCAGGGTATCTCCCGATCATTCGTTTTTTAATTTAATATTGAAATCTGAAAAATGAAAAAACGGCACATTTTTCGTTTTTCATTTGTTCAAACAAAACGAAAAATCAAGAATTTGGCTTCATTTTTCGTCCAGGGATAGAAAACGAATAAGCAACTTGCATATTAAATCTCTACATGTGGGCGGGAATGAAACGCCCCTCTCCGCTGATTGGTCAACCAAACATTTAATAGTCCTAAAAAACATAACAAGAGTCCTCCACTTCTATTGATTCTTATTTCTACTACATTTGATCTCTTTCTCTTCATCAAACAGCCAGATTAACTAATGGCTTGCCACAAACCGTATAGAGGCAGAGCCTAGACAGAGCTTTCTTTTGTGTAGGCATAAATTCTGAAACCTACCCGTGAAATATTAGTTTATCTCATAAATATTAATTTACTTCGCACCTGCACTCACAACTACCTACTAGCCTACATCTTTGGCACACCGCCTGAATTATTATAGCTAACCACCTATTAAAATCTGTGTGGCAAAGCTGCGCGATGCACTGCAGCGCGGGGAGAATGTATTGTAGACAAGCACAGACCACTATTAATTTATGTGAACAGGTCGTTTTAGACAATAAACTGAGTTTATTTAATTAATATTGAGTATTGGCCAGCTAACTGATGGCATACAAAATTGTTATTTTCTCTGCCAACTATACCAAAGTCACAGAACCATTGTGTGACTGACTCCAAGCAGGCGCATAGAGTGGTGTATCATTCCTGAATTAATCAGAGTCTTTGAAAAACCCATTATTATAGACAACAATGCAATTACCAATTATTATAGACAGCCGCTTGATTTTATTCCTAAATGAATAAATGAAGCATTTTGAACGAATTGACTGAATAAAAGGCTCCTTAATTAACACAGTGACTTACCGCCACCTAGTGGTGATATTACTTTCATAATTCAAGTATCATTTCATTTTATTCATATTTCTGTATTAAAAATGTTGTATAAAACATTAATCTCATTTCATTATACATTTGTAATTGCTGTGTAAATGCACGTACAGCCGTCTGATCAGCATTAAACTGTAAATACATCTAAAAGCATCTTCAGACGCAGGTTCTATATCATTGAATTCTGATTTAATTGGTAACAGCCTATTGTCATATTATTATAATTTATTTTATTTAAGAATTTAACATTAAAGATGACATACAAAAGGTAAAAGGTAAAAAAATAAAAATAATAATAATAATAATAAATAAATAAAAAACTGAAAATCAGTTGCCCCTTATGGGAAAGTTAATTTCTGACACTGATGACACTGGCTTATTGTTCGAAGTGTTATTTCAGGGTTTGGATATGTTCTTATAACTCAAACGAGTTCACCTTCAATTCATGACGTCAAATTCACATTTCACTAAATTCAATCACTGAAACAAGCACTCTGACGAACAAATAGTCCCATGCCAGTGGGATAACAACATATGATTTCCTAAATTTCTAGAAAGTGCTTTAAGAATAAAACTCAAAAAAGAAAAAAAAAATAGATGTGCTGTGAAGGTAAATTACACAAAGTCATTTCATATATGTCATATTATTTAAGTTCCTCCTTTGTCTAAAAC